TGCAAAAAGAGGATACAATATGACCTTGATGGACAACAACTGTGCATATATTTAGTGAGTAAACAGGAAATGTATTCGTGTACATTAATCGCTTTTAATCAGTAATTCTTATTTTATGGTGATCTGAATATCGAATAAGAAAAGGAAAATTTTTTTACTAAAGAAAATTTGATTTAGTATATACAGCTATTAACAAATGCATTTTAATCGATAATTGCGATCCTACATAAAATAGATGCAGTAATACTGAAAACATCAATAAAATCTTGATATGTATAAAGAGTAGAATAGGAAAGTTGATGAATACTGAATATAAATTGAATGTTGAATTATTGAACAACAATAATATCTATTTTACTATATTTTCATAATTTTATAATAATACTTCACACAATGATACTCTTCTTATGCATAGGTGATCATTTACCACAAGAAAGGTCGTTAGAAAAGAGAAATCAAATATAAAAATTCGATTTTAAAAAAAAAGACAAGTTTGAAAAAGGAAAAAGAGAGCAAATAAATACAGACTATAATTGCCCGTTGCTACGTTTCCTGGCTCGACTTATTGATGGTTCAATTAAATATCTGCGAACACTTTCCGTAGGTCTCAATGCTTCACTGCAATCTCTGTGGGAACATTTCAAACCTGCAACCAATTTCTCCCAAAGTGTTCTCTCAAAATGTACCGGAACTAGCGATTTACCATCTTTTTCATCCTCTTCATTGTATTTCTCATCCATTGCATTTTGCAACTCCCACAGTTTTGTTTCATCCGATGTTCCGGAATTTGCTGATTTCCGTTGTTTGGAATCCTCTTTCGAAGTATCAATGTGATCAACATCACAATCATTTACTATTTTGCTTTCTTGCTCATTGATATCGTTTTTTGTGAACTCTGATCTGGGAATCATTTGCGGATTTAACTTGGAATTTTTTTCAAAATCTTTATGATCTTGTTCATCTTTGACAGTTATATAATCATCATTGCTTTTACTGTCATCAGAATGTTTCTCATTTGAATGTTCTTCTCTTCCCCTTATGCGACTTATTTCTGCTTTGTCCTCACTGCGATGTGTTTGTGAAAAAGTTCTATCCAACGTGTTTCCAGTAAAATGTGTGACAGATTGCGCATCAACTTCATCGAAAAATTCATCTTTTGAGCTTTTGAATGTAGAATTATCCGACAATGAAGAATAATGAGCTATGCTAGTTAGTTCAGAAAACGAAGTAGGTGCTACGAATGTGGCTAAAGCATTGAAAATTTCCACTAAATCGATAATTCGCAAATTTGACACAAATTTCTCATGATCAAATTCATCCTGAATTTTTTTTAAAGTATCATTCATAGTATTGGATGCAGAGATCTTGAATTCCGGTGTAACTGTAACTGTCGAATTTAGATTTAAAAAATGACATGCTGAAAAGTTACGTTTAATCACGATATTTTCTGCAGGCGTTTTATCACTATTGCTCATTTCATCACGTTTAGAACTAATCATACTGTTAGATTCTTCTGGCTCTTCGACTATTCCACGTATATAAGGCTTATCTTTATCACTATTGCCACTATTATACACTATATCATTTTTTTTCATGGTAGGAATAACTTTTTCTTCAATTTCATGTGCTGTATTTGGAGCACGAATTACAGTACCTACAACTTTATATGGTGGTGGAGTAACTGAATCCCACTCTTCCACAGCATTAATATTTTTACCATAAAGAGATGTTGAAGTAGGATGGAATAGTTTGTTCTTAGAATTATCCAACATTGAAATCACTGACTGGTCGGGCATTAATGGATTACATAAGATAATGGCAAATGGCACAAAGAAAAAAAGGCGCAATATCATTATATGAATGTTTGGAAAAATTGAAAGAGAAGTGGAAATAAGAAAAGAAGAACTGGAAATCAAAAATCGAAGTAATCCTATTCGACAAGTGCTTACTGTTGAACAGTTTCCACAAATCAATTCAGAAAATGGATACACTTCTCCAAATCTTTCTCATTGACAGCTGCTAGTAAATCCAATGCATAGGGCAAACAACTTCGAACGACAGCTGCGCGTAAGGGCGTCCAAATTGTAGACGATGAAATGGAGCTATAAGATTGCTGTAGCTGAAGAGCCGTAATAAAATGTTCGATTGCTTCTCTGAAATTTACAATAAAATAAAAAATTTTTAATCGTTTTAGATCCTGATCTCACTTGATATAAATGGATAACAAATAATTGGTAATAAGTAATATATCAAGGAAAATAAGCATGTCAAACGATAAATTAAAACCAATAAGAGCAAACCAAAAAAAAGAAATACTAGAATATTGAAAAAGTCCTATTATGATGAATTTATTCGTCAGTTTTGATTAAATAAAAGAAGATTAATCATGCTGTAAACATGACTTCAATACAATTCAATTCAAATTAAAATCTAACCAAAATCAATTGCAAAAATAAGAGCAGTAGAAATGAGTGAAGGCATACATACTTGTAGTTCTGCAGTTGAATGCAAGCGATGCCTAGATTACAACGAGCACGTGTATAATTCGGACAGATCTCAAGAGCTTTGTGGTAAGCAGCAACTGCTTCTGCAGCGCGTTTACCATTAGCCAATGTTGCCCCCAAACGGTTCCAAAGTACGTAGTCCTACAACATTTCGAACAAATTTATCTATGTTTTCAAGTAATAATCTAGAAATTAATAATAAAATAAATGTCATTGTATCATAAAGTGTTTTCTTCAAAATACATTTTATCGACTATTCTTCGCGAATGAAATTCATATGAACTATCAGTAGCTTAATCAATAGGTAGATTACACAAGAATTGATGTGAGCTAAAGTCTTTTAGTCGACTCAAGTATGACCAAGTCATACCATTCATATCATTCACGGGAAATACTCTACATTCATGACTAGACCGTTTAATCTTTCTGGAATCTCAAATAATTTTGATGAAGTAAAACAGCATAATACTAATTTTTAAAAATTTTGAAAAGTTAAAAAAATATTTTCATGTTATGAGTTGCGATCACACAAACCTTCGGATTGTACATAAGCGCCAATTTCACTTTCTGTGCAGCTCGATTATAATCACCCTTAATGTTATACACCAAACTTAACGCATTGTGAAACGTTGCTTCATCAGTTGTTTTAGCGTTTGAAAGCACTTTTCGGATGAGCTCTTCCACCTGAGCATTAGCGTCATTGGGAATTATGAATTCGTTAAGGATCCTTGTTATTTCTATAGTTTTGATTTCTATTATTTCGGTCGATCTTTGAAGATTCGTTATTCTCCGACAGAAGATCCAGTAATTTCGACAACTTTTGTAATAGTTTAATTACCGTCTATTAGGCCCAACTTCATTAAAGGTCATTCAAACCAAAAATGATGGCATTTTTGTCGAATAACTAATATTAGTCGTATTGTACTATAAACCTCATCTTAAAGCAAAGTCCATAATCTCCTCCCCTCCCCCATGATAAATCAAATTTTGCATATCTCTTCCAATTTTATTGACACCTCTTACAACACCAATTATCAAGAGTAACAAGAAATGACAGAAAGTTATGACTTTACGGATAACCTGTTCCGTTCGAATAGTAAGATCCTCAACTAGACTGCTAGGAGCAGTTTTGAATTCCAATGGAATTGAATCATTATCCAAATAGGACGTAATCCACTGCTTCAAAACTTCTAGTGCTTCTAATTCCATACATTCATTAATGTAAACTGTGGCAAGAGCGAGTTGTATCTATAAAATGAAAAGAATATGCCAAAATAAATGTGTGTCCTAGCATTGAGAATACAACTAAAAGTAAAGTTGAAAAAGAATCAGGAGACAAAGATATATGAATATATATGCATGTGCTTATTCAAATTTTTGATAATGAGAAGTAAATCATGTTATTAAACATTGTAGAAGTAAGACTCGTATAGCATATTTCTAACTACACTCCTTATAAAATCAGCAAATTTTATATATTCAAAGCAAAAAAGTGATTTGAAGCATTCTCATGTTTCGTCATTAAAAACGGCCTCTCTAATAAGCACTATTTAAATTAATGTTCCATTCATAAAATTCTTCAAGTAATCTGGTATCAAAATTGTTTGATAAAGAATAATGAAGTTTGGTGCATTAGACTTAGTTTTATATTTCATACACTAACGCATGTATGCAAGTTCTTAGACATGGGCAAATCTGAGTGTTACACAGATTTTAAATTTCGATTTGAAAGATACCAAAATTTACCTCTTTTTGTTCTGGTTGTAAATTCAAAGCTTGCTTATATGCTGCAATTGCCTGTCTATCGCTCTCGTTTTCAGATAAGCATTTTCCAAGCAGAAACCAAGCCTATTAATGAAAAATTTTTTCGAAATATTCAAGACGGCTAAAAATAATTACAAAAAAGATTTGAAACTTAAAGAAACAAAAGGAATTTCTATATCACAAGTTTCTTATAATTATAGCTAAGAGGCATCACAGATTCCATTTATGAAATCACCACAAAGTATTCCATCTTACTTACAAACTATTTCCAGTAGTAGAAAAACAAACAAACCTCAAAATTTTCTCGATTCTGCTGTACAGCAGCTTCAAAATATAAAATGGCATCAGCTATCATGCCACCATTAAGCGCTTGTTGTCCTTTTTCAAATGCATCCGTTTCTCTGAGATAAGGATTATTCCTTACGAAAACATACATCTCATCAAAAGATGCCCTGAAACGAAATATTTATTGTTTTAATAATTTTCTTCAGAAACTTTGAATTTGACAATTTAAATAAATAAAGACAGTAAGTAGTATCAATTACGATTTGGTTCGTTTCGCAATCCAATACAGCGTGACATGCATTTCAGGTGTTGTATAAGTTTTTTCTATATCGTCGAGAAAAATACAGATGCCATCACTAGAAGAGAGAGAGAAAAGGAGAAAAGGAGATCAAAGTAAGTTAAGGCATAAATAAATGAGATATTACCTTCCTGAAAATGTTTTAGTATTTGTTTCTACTGCAGAAGCAGAGATCGTGTCCTGAAAAAATAGTTATTCTTAATTATTTAACTGATTGGGAGAATTTTACTTCGAGGGACCTTATGTCTTTTACTTTATTGTCAATAAACTTTTCAATACAATAACTAGCAAATCTGTTGTTCACCTGCGATTTTTGATCGAATTCATCTAGAAATTCTGTGGCCCATATCTCGGATTCATCCCTGCAAATTGAAAAATTTTAAAAATATTTCCAAAATTTATTTTTTAATAGCAAAAAATATTATCAACGCAAGCAAGGTTACAGAAACAGTTGTATCGGCATCCATTTTATTTCAGAGATACCGACACTGAAAATCTGAGATCCATATTAACAACATACTTCGTTCTGGTTTTGTCTTCAGTTGTCTCCTCATAAAAGCTTAAATTGGAAAATTCCTTAGCCCATTGTTCTGGTAAATAATTGGCTTGCTGTTCTGCTTCATCAGCCCACTGTTCAACTAAATTGTTGGATTGTTGCTGTCCTGCTATGTATTCCTCAGCCCATATTTCCGCCAGATTTTGTGTAGGGTCCATCTGACCAGCCAATTCATATAGATTGGTTGTTTGGGGGATTGCGGTAGACATTGTAAGGCTTATTAGGTACTCATCGTGCAGCTGAAGTCAAAGAAATTTTCAACTAATCAAATGTACTGCAAGAATTTCTCAGGTTAAAGAATAATAAAACGATGATTTAATCAATTATGAAATTTACGCATATCTATAAGTTAGATTAGCACAACTAATTTTCAAATTTTATCCTCAAATCTAATCGAATTCATGCATGCTGGATTGAAACGACTAAGAAATACCATCCAAAGAATGTAATTTAGAATAAATATTAAATAAATAAACTTCATCGGTAACACTTACGTCCCGAGGCTTTGAACTCTCAGTTAAAAATTGATTCCAGGTGTTTTCGAAGTCCTCATCTAAATTTCCCTCAATAACTCTTCTCGATAAATCTACCAAAGGATTGTGCTGCGTACAATCCTTTTCCACTAATGATTTACCAGCAGAAGTTGAAGTCATTTTATGGATTATAAATATCTGAAAAACACACGCAAATAGAATATCTGAAATATTCGTCATTAACAATGTTCAACTTATTCTAATACTCATTTCCTGCAATTCTTCTACCGTTTTTTTTCATCAATATATATCATTTTTCTATCATAACGATATATTGCATTATCAGTCAGGTACTGTTTCAGTTTGTAATTCCGTTTTTCTGGAAAACCATAGCATTACTTACAATTCTTTATTTGTACGCCTCTCATTTCGATCAATTTTTGCCATACTCTTTTACAATATGCCATTTTTCTATCACTTAATTCTAATAATTATCAATGAAACTATATGATTATCATAAAATTAAGGATATAATCTTAAAAAAATTAATCCAAAAAAAAAAAAAAAACTTCCCCACTCGTACCGGAAAGAATAACACCACTGAAAAAAAAAAAAAAAACCAGAACTACCAGAAAACCGGTAATGTTTGACAATAATGTATTTCAGTGGAACAGAAAAGAAAAAGAGAATTGCTGAAAAGACTGAATGATGTGTGTAAATAAAGACAATGTTAAAGAGATATTTCTCATTTCAACGAAAATATTCTAAAGTATTTAATTATCCTTATAACAATTTTCCTCGTATTTTAAAATATCTTTAGTTTAAATGCTAAACAAATAATTAAGAGGGGAACAGAGAATAAACAAAAAAAAAAAAGAAGTACAATTGTCCATTTCGTTTGATTTTTGGCTACTCGACTTTCGATCTTTCGTCCTCTTCCGAAGGTATTTGGTGTTATTTTTTTTTCCTGGTAATCGGGGGTGTTGTTTCTCATTGATGTTTTTACACTGTTAATTTTGGTATTTCGAGGCAATCTTTTGAAAATAATAATTTCAGATGGCACATTCTGCTCAAAAGGGGAAAATTATTGCGGTGATTGGCGATGAAGATACTGTGGTTGGATTTCTGCTTGGTGGAATAGGTGAACTCAATAAGGTATATTTCGCTTTTTTTTTTTCTTCATGCTTATGTATGAACAAATTGCTTTAGAGAAATATTGAGTTTATTGAGAAAGCTAAGGATTAGCTTGTTTCAATTTCCAAGTTTCATTTTCACAAAATAGCATGTTTTATTTTGTTAGGCTCGCCGACCAAATTATTTAATTGTGGACAAAAATACGACAGTTAATGAGATAGAGGAAACATTCAAAGATTTTTGTTCACGTGATGATATTGCAATAATTCTAATCAATCAATATATTGCTGAACAAATACGTTTTGCTGTTGACGAATATACCGCTAGTATACCGGCTGTATTGGAGATTCCATCGAAGGAAGCTCCTTACGATCCAACTAAGGTTTTGAAACGTTTCAGTTCTTTATAAGCAGTTTGTAGTTTGAAATGGCATAATTCAACTTTCGTTTGGGTCTTTAAATTTGTTTTTTTTATAAATAACTAGTAGTGACTGGTTTGAAAAATTATGTTAATTTATACATTTTCCGAAAATTATAGATGTTTATCACCTATTGAAACATTGGGATGTCTTCATTTTCATTTTTGGAAAGGCCCAAAATAATTCCAAATGTCATTTATTTGCTTCCTTTGAATAAAAATTTGTTTGCTTGTATTGTCAAGGTCTTTTATTTCTCTTATATTTTTCAAGACACTTATACGTCGTTCTGAATACCTTGAATAGGTTTTATACGTCTTTGGAATTTTTATAAATAGCAAAAATTTTTTCAGGACAGCATAATGAGCCGAGCCAGAGGACTATTCAATCCAGATGATTTCCGTTGATTCTTAGTAATTTAATGTTTTTTTCTATACATGTCATTCCACATTGATGAGTCGATTTTTCAGTAGTTTTATTCGTGTCGGAAAAATTGCTTAAAAAATAGTCTTTTTCGAAAGTGGTATTACAGCTTCAGAGCAAATCTCTATTGACAGTTTACATTGGAATTCTCGTTTGTTTTTAAATTGAGATATATTTTTATTTTGTATGCATAACCTATGTATGAAGACTGTATATAAGGATAAAACAATCATTGTCGTTTATGTGGTCAACCGGACAAAATTAAGTTCCTTGCAGTGAACAATTCATGTTTTGGTTATTGTATTTTCATTCTTCTGCATCAGATGTATTATAATTTTCTTGATCTTTTTGATTTTCGGTAGTGTTAAGGATGAAGTATTATTCCCTAAATATATGCAAAACTTGTAGATCTGTGCAAATTAAACATGATTTTCACAGAGAAATTATGAAACAAAGTTGTTCAGTGAGCTAGTGACGGCTTGTCTTATTACTTATTATCCGTTTTATAGTTATTTATACTATAAAATTTGTGGAAAATTAGGAATAAAGTAATCAAGGGTTGATTAACCGGAATTCGGATAGGCTATGGTTTGAGTGTTAGATAATAACTGATGACAAGTTGGATACATGGATTGTTAGATAATAACTGATGACAAGTTGGAGATATGGATTTTACTTATTTAGAGAAAAATAATTTGAAACAATTACCAATTTCGAAATCGATTGGTCTAAGAAGACGTGGTAGTTTTTATTCAAAATAAAACTGGAAAAGAAATAAACAGAAGAGTTTGTTGGTTTTATGCTTTGTTTTATACCTTTTTTCCTATCCGAAATTTAGTATATTGATGCAAAAATGTAAGAACAGAACTTTCTAAGTGATTTCAATATATATATATATAAGGAAGAAAACGGTTACCCGACCAATCTCTACTTGTTACTGGGCAGTTTTTTCTTTCGGGATTTCTTTACTATCAAAACTGTTTTTCATATTTACGATCTAGCGTATGGTCTCAATTGTACAATGGGATGTAACATAATATTCTGGAGGAGTTCATAGTATTTTTAGGTCATTTCTTAGTTCTAAAAAGAACTTATGACAGGAGCTATTTCGATAAGCACTCTCTGGAAAACGGTATTCTTCTTTATCGTATCTTAAAATGAAAATAATTTAAGAATGAGAGGATTATCGTGTATTCGACAATTATTTTTCCATCGGCAGTTACACAACTCATTATTGAGATCACAAATGATACCGATGGTGGTCGATCAGGATGGCCGTATTGAAAGAGTTTATGACATTTATTCACGATTGCTCAAAGATCGTATTGTTTGCGTGATGACGCCGGTTTGTTTATTAGCTTTATTAATTCGTCATTTATATGTATTCTTATAGCATCGTATCAAGTGCTGGATAATTTCAATTCATTTTTCTCATCTCATAAACTATTTAATTGTTTGCGTAAATTTTCGTAATGCATTCAGGTTGATAATGATGTTGTCAGATGAAAAAAGAGGAAGAAAGAGGATTTGTTATTGTGTTTTACAGATAGATTTTTTTTTTAGATAAATGATCAGGTAGCTGCTTCCATTATTGCACAGCTTCTCTTTCTACAAGGTGAAAGTGCAAAAAACACTATCAATATGTATATAATGTGTCCTGGTAGGTAAATTCTTTTATATTTGCTATAATCCTTTTCTTCCTTTTCAAATCAAATTTTAATTTAAAGATTTAAATCAATTTGCAGGTGGCAGCGTGACTGCTGGTTTAGGTATTTATGACACGATGCAGTATATCAGCGCTCCAGTAGCAACTTGGTGTATTGGACAGGTGACAACAGTCATATTTTTCATTTTTCTCTATTCTATCTTCTGATTTTCCACTCGCAAATACTTTTTTTACTGGAACCAAAGTACTGATTCTTTGATGATAAACTCTTGAAATTTTAGGCTGCAAGTATGGGTAGTCTTTTGCTGTCTGCTGGTGCGAAAGGAATGCGCACGTCGTTACCCAATGCTCGTATAATGGTTCATCAGCCAAGCGGTGGCGCCGAGGTATACATTTTACTAATTGTTTTATATTCCTCATACTACAACTATTGTTGTCCATAATTCAGTTGCTACTTCAAAGGCATTTGAAATTTAAATATTTAATAGTCATTATGTATCACGGATTTTTTCATTGCTTTAAGGGCCAAGCATCCGATATTTTGATTCGAGCTGAAGAGATTGGCAGACTCAAAACACGACTGAACAAAATTTATTCTATCCACACTGGTAAGATTTGTTTAATATATGTGGCTATACATTTTGCTGTAAAAATTTTGATTTTTCTATTAAAAACTTGCTTTAATATGATTAGTGAATGATAAATTCATTCTATTTTACTTAATTAATCTTTACTAAGTTTTGGGAAAGGAGTAATTTATTAGTCCTGCTCTTGATCGTTGATCTGTTTACATTCTTGTGTTGTGCCCGAGAGATATTACTGCAGGCATGTATTGTGGCTTTCTTAGTAAATTGTTTTTCCATCGCTTTTGACGAATAGTTAAAACTGATTTTTGTCATGCAGCGAGTATATGAAAGTTTTTCCTACTTTCTAATGTGGTGTTTACAGGACAGGATATCAAAGTAATTGAAGAAGCACTAGATCGTGATAGATATATGAGTCCAGAAGAAGCCAAGCAATTTGGTATAATTGATCAAATAGAGGCTTCTGCATTTGATTTATAATTCTGGTTGTTGTACTCTTCCTTGTTGCTGTTGTATTAAATTGCGCATTTTTGATCACTAATTGTTACTGCAGTCGTTATTTATTTTTTGATTGGTGAGAAACGTTAGTCCTGGGCAGCGCTTCTTAAAGAAATTGGTACTTTTTTATTGATGGATGATCCTTTGTAAATATTTGTCTTCGGTTACGAATCATTGAAATAAAACTCATCAAAAAGAGTCAATGTATGCATTTATGTATATCAAAGTGATTTAACATATGAAATGTATAATGTAGCACGGTATTAGAGGCTATAAAAGATGAAAACTTTTCATTCAGCTCAGATCTCAGATAAAAAATGGAAGATTTTCGTTTAGCTCATTTCTAGAATTGCTATTTCCAGGATTAAAACAAAAATTCGTCAAGATGAATGAAATATCTCATGCTATGATGTGCTAGTTTTAACATTTTTAAGATGTTTTTCGAAATGCCAATGCAAAATGCGTAAACAAGCGACTACCATGTAATAGTTTAAGCAAGCTTAAAATAAAAAAAAAATGTTTCCTTTTGATCTAACAATAATGAAATAATAAATAATAGATGATCTGACAATAATAAAGAATAATCATTTAGAAAAAAATGGTCCTTGTTACTAGTAAGAAATAATTATTTTTAAAAAAAGAGTCCTTTTTAACTAACATGAAATATTTCAAGTGCCATCTTATATTAGTTTGTACAATTACAAAAGAGTAGTAATTATTAGAAAAGGGAAGGAATCCGCGTACGAAAATTATAGATTTTTGGTAAGCATTAAAAGGAGGCAATTATTATCTATTAGTAATACACAAAGATGACATTTGATAGGAACTGATAAGATAAGAGTAAGTTAAGGGCCCCTTTTTTGGTTTGTAGAGGAGGCATAAAGAAGGGAGGATGGAGATTGAAGTGGTATAAGCAAGCAGTCTGCTATATGTTTGCAAGTGATGATACAGTTGGCGTTTCTCTCTTCTGCATGACATCTTTTTGTACCGTATTTTCATTTCACTTTAGTGCTTCAATGCTTAGCATCGAATTGTGCATAAAATCCAATCATTCTTTACGGTGATATTATGCACATTTTCATGCAAAGTATTTAAGTTTTTCAAACATCTCAAATGTCCTTCCTTTCATTCCTTCTTTATCAAATATCTCTCAACAATTTGCAATTTTTGCCGATATTTCTGTTTAGCTATAATATTTTGGTAAGTTCCATTATTTATTATTTAATTTCAATTTATAAAATTTACATGCATCAATTAAAATATTTTCATTTATAATTAAATTGTAATTACTAAGGAACTCAGCTTACTGAATTAGATTAAAATAAATGATGAAATAAATGAAGAGAAAATCAGCATGCATTTTTATGCCTCCTCACACATACACACACACACGTACACACACATACACACACGTACACACATATACAGCATACATGTATATACCGAACATAATATTTTAGTTTTGGTTCAATAAGATTTTGACATAATACAGAGTTGTGCTAATATGTTTCGCATATATTGTATTATTTTCAGCATCCAATATTTTCAGTGTACTATCAAAAAATTCCTCAAATAATACAAATAATTTTAATTTAATGATTTTGAATAATTTTAATTTTATTGAATAAGAAGATTAAGTTGAGTGATATTGATGCTCAATTTTGTAAGAATTAAAATTTATCACTTCGCGTGGTAGCAGCAGAAATTAATTGATTACTTCGTATATATGATCTTTGTAATAATAATGAAGAACGTTCTATTCCACAGGGATGGATTTACTTTAGTTGGAGAAATTATTAATGGAAATGGTGGATGTCGAAATGCTGATTCACACTATCTCACTCAAATAGAGGACTTTTTGAAATATTTTTCAAAAGATAAGCAAAAGGAAAAAAAATTGACTATAATTTCATATTTATTTGATGATGATGATGATGGAATGATTCATTCATCTTATTTGAATATCTAACATGAAGCATTTCATCGATCGCTTCTTCTAAGATAGGCAAAATGTCGTATAAAAATGAGCAAATGTCCTAAAATTGCTTGCTCGATTAGTTTAAGAAATTTGAGCAAACTGAAGCAAATACACTGCCAGGAATATAGCCTGAAACACGAGGATAATAATTTAGCTATTTGATAAATTTTCGTTAGATAAGCCTAAAACTATAAAATTTGAATTATATATATGGATAATCATTGGTATCATTGAAACACTATCGTACTATGAGCAATTTAATTTTGATTTAATAGAAATTATTGAAATTTATAGTAGTTACATCGCATTATTTATTACATTTTGAAATCTTATAAAATTAAGACTTCAATCTATTTAATTAGATCAGCTAAATAAAATCATATGAAATGGTAATCGGGAAGATTATAGTAACCATTTCATACTTTCAAATAATCCCACAGTACAATCAGTTCAGAGATTCTTTTCAAATATTTTTCGCGGAATTATATGCATTACCTATAATAGTCCACTCGCTATATAAAGACTTGATCCGCTTCTGTTGTCCACTACCAATATATGAATTCGTTTACCACTCAATTTTGAATCATTCCATAAACCAATTAGTGATCATTTCGTGATAATTACTGTATCACTTACACTTCCAAGCATGATACAGTAATCATCTGAAGCCATGATATATCTGATCTTGCTTTTTTCATATTTATGAATCTTTACATTTCTTCCGCACAAATGCTATTTTTTCAATCAAACATTGTGACTATTTTGTTTCACATTCAGGATCATTTCATCAAAAATGAGTTTGATTAAATTTGGTCACTCGAGAATAAACAGTATTCATAAAACAACTCAAATTTGATCGGTTTCACTTGAAGTCCCTCACTTTACTTTCTAAGTTCTTTGCTTAATATTCTATTCATTGTTGTATGCAAAAAAGAAATGTTCAAGAAACCTACGATATTTGAGAGCGCTTAATTATACCTCAAATGCATATAATTTGCAAAATAATATCCTTGCGTTGTTAAAATACATCCACTAAATGTAGTTACAACATGTACCTGCTTAAACATCCACCATAAGAAATTTGTCGCTAGAGATTTGATCACCAAATGTTATTTTGATGTAAATTTATATGGATAAATATATTCATCATTGCTTAATTTATAAATTTTGAAAAGAAAAGGTTAAAACATAACAATATATTAGGCCAACATTGTCGAATAAATATTGAAAAACATAATGTACAGTTATCTGGAAAATATGATAATATGACAATAGTTCGTGCAAGGAAACTATGGACAGAAAAATTAAATGTATTGAAGATACATTATAATAGTAAAACATCAAAAAATAAAATGAAGAACCCGAAAAGAAATGAAAGGAAGTTTAGGCCAAAAATTCACAGTAATGTAAAGAAGCTGAAGTGAATGAAATTATGATATATAAAGTGAAACAGGATTTTTTAAAAAGAAAACTCTCACAACAGCAAAGTATATCTCAAACAGATTTTTTATACAGTACTCTTCTATTAATTTGTTTTGGTATCACTTTTTTCAAAAAAGGATGAATCTTTTATGGAGAGTGTTATGAATTCCTTATGTATAAAATAAACTTACTCGAAAATCTGAACAATATAAACACTATAATTAAATACGCAATGAGATAGATCACTTTAAAATTTACCCTTCTTTGTAAACGAGTAAATCAGAATTAGAAATTTTAACTTCCATCATTCAATCCTATCTTCTTGAAAAGGGATTAGATCACCGGAACTTCAACACAGATAAGTAAATTGATATTAACAGTTATGCGATAAAGAAAGATGAGTGAGGATATATGCCCTATATGAAGTCGGATCTCGGAGGTACTAATCCTAATCTATCAGTTGCTTGAGCAATCACTCTGCTTATGAGGCTGATCATTCACTAGTGAATAACTTAAAGTTACCGGATAAATAAAAAAACTAAGAAAAAACACAGATAAATAAATCGATATTAACAGCTCAAATGATATTTTATAAGACAATGTTCGGTGCTCAAAAGCGCTTGGGATAAAAATGTACACAGGGCTTACGGATATAATACGTCGACTATTTCGATTAGCCGATTGAAATTATTTTCATCCTTAGCTGGAATCAGAAGAATCACCCAGTGAAAGAATTTTACACACATGAATTGGAAGTTTGTCTTGACTGGCCGCGAGCTGATGAAATATAGCTTCCGCCGAAGTTAACGTATCATTTAAATCAATATGCATCGATAGATCATTTATATGCTGAAACAATAGATGAAGCTAAATATTTCTAAGTAAATCATGTTTGATATTTCCTAAAATTTTATTAAAATTATCAAACGTTAGGGTAGCAAATTCTCATGATAATAGTTTAGAAGAGAGAGTATCATACTGATTCAAGAAAGCTTCCAAATCTTATGACTTGGTATGGCCTATAGTATTCAATATTAAAATATGAATTTTTGAGATATCAAAATAATACGAAGAAATGAAACTGACTTTAAGAATTTCTGTCAAACCAAATTTGTTTTCAATGATAAAATTCATTTGTTGATCAAGGATTGCCACACAGATTAAGAGATGAAAATTCGAGCAGGGCAAATCGGTCCATAAAACCTGAATAAATATAATGTATTCAGTTGCAACTGTGAGGTTTGCAATACACGAGAAAGTGAATTAAAAGCACTAACTTCCCACAATCGCATAATATCATCGAAACAAAACTCCCGTTTGAAGACAACTAGCATCCATCGAAAACAGAAGTACATGTCGTCAGAATTATGACTCTCTGCAAAAAATCGATGAGAAATTGTCTGAAGAGAAACAAAAAAAAAACTTGAATTTCAGCAAGTGCAAATGGTTAAAATCCAACTTCTGTAACATTCAAATTAAAACCGGCGTAACATACCTAAATAATTGGCCAATTTGGGATTAACAACCATAAGAAGGTCACGCAAATCCATCAGCTGCTTTTTAATGGCGGACTGGTCCAATTCGAAATTTCTGTGCTGCAAATAACAAATTTGTCACAAAAATTAAATATTTTAATTAAACAGCTATAATTGAAGAGTTTAATCCCCGAAGACGAAATCACGAGTTTTGATTCATGTTTTCCATTTAATTACTGTGCAGAGAAACATTATGAAACATTTTAGAAATAATTTAACACAAAATACTTGATCAAGAAGTCTACAAAAACTTCGAAATTCAGAAATTAAGTCCTACTATAAGTTACTAAAAAACTAATAATCTTACCACTCTTTTTAACAATCCAACAAAAGCCCAAAAAGCATGAACTTCATTCTGCAGTACAACAAGCAAAGGAGAAAGGAAATCACTCATTCCCTGTACATAGCCTAAAACATATGTAAACTTGATTAATGTTCAAAAACATAACAGTTAAGAATTTTTACATATTATCTAACTTCCTTGCAAATGAGTAAGATTACTTGGAATTCCTGAAGCAAAGGAAAATTACTTTTTATTTGAAGGAATTAACAGTAAAAGAAAAAAAAGCAAACATAGAAATATATGCCAGGAAGGACCAACCGAGGTCAAAGTTATACATACAATACGTCATCAAAATATCGTTGAGGAGTATGAGATTACCATTGTCACAACCACCAAAAAAAGCATGCGTGCGATCTGTTCGCGATACATCCTTATCTGAAAATAATGTAAAAACTCAACGTGAAAATTACAAGTTTAAAAAACTTGAAGATGTAAAATGTGATGAATCGTTTTATAAAGTACCAATTAAAGCCTTTCGAGCAGCAAATTCACTAAATCTGTTTTCCTGATCTTTGCTTATCGTTTTCCATTGTAGTTTCATGCGATAATAATCCTCGGAAAGCGTTTTATACATCTTAAAATAGCTTCATTTTGTGAAAGGAAAAAAATAGAAAGGGATTTATTCAAAACTGATGAATGAAAATTCTTTATACGAATTCCAAGAACTAAATAAAAACGCAGAAAAAATTAAATACGAAAAATATAAATAATTACAGCTTCATTTTCAGCAAAAGATTTCTTCCAGTCATATACGCCAAGAAGATACTTCCACGCTTCCTTCCTTAACGACGGATCCAAACCACCACGGAAGATCAGTACTTTTAACGAATGAACATCTCTGATCGAACCATCAGGCATTCTAAATATCTTCAATTTCAAAAAAAAAAACCAAAAAACTCAGAAACAACCGTTTTTAAAAAACGAATCGACGAATTTGATTAATATAAAAAGCAAAAGTTTCTCTTACTTATACTTTTGCCAAAGTATTTCGGTTAATGGCTGTTCCCTTGTGAATTCTGGACGCTGTGGCAATTCTAAATGTGTTATAAGTTCAAATCCTGCGTCATCATGCGACCTGCAAAATTAATAAAATTCTAATCTGTAAAATGAAATTAAAAAACCGACTATATTCTGTTGAAACACATACCTTAGAACGCCTGCCGCTTCATCTTCTTTTTCTCTCAACTCTCTCATTGCTCTGATTTTTTCTTCTGCGCTCACTGCATCGGATTCCAATATAGAAGGTATAACCTTCAAAAATGAACAATTCAACATAGAAATGAGAACGAATTAAAGACTTTGTTGTCGTATCATTACATATTTTCATTTAAACACATTTGCAATTTGTTATATTTGTTCATAACTCAAACTTGAAAACTTCGCAATAATATTGTTACGGAAATTCTTTTTTGCAATAACGATTTATTTGATATGGATTATTATTTTAACGCAGTAAAAAATAAAAAAGTTTCCAAATGCACCTGTTCTTGGACAAATGTTGCCACTTTTCCAAGCCCTGTCATTGCTGTTGCATACGGTTGTGCCATCATTCGCTATAACAATAAACTAAATGTAAAAATATCTGAGTTGGAATATAATTCGTTCATAAGACTAAAGGTCATATATGAAAATACCGAAAAGAAATCACTGTTCAAATCCAAAATTGAGACAGATTGTTCCAAAGCTTCAAGACGTTCGTCCGTGAAAAGTACCAAATTTGCTTCGCGAGCTGAACGCTTTAGTGTAGTATATCTGAAACATAAGAAAAAGAAAAAGTGTGAATGTGAGTGTAGCGTATCTAAAACATAAGAAAAAGAAAATGGAAATCGCAAATGGCAAAGAAAGCATTACCTTTGCAAATTATCAGTAAAAGAAGATATTCCACCTTGACGAAAATATAGTGGTATATAGCCCGAACCATCCTTGCCGATAAAGCGTATCCAAGGATATCCTTCAAAAGAGAATTGTACTGTATAAAGAAGGTAAACTTATTTAAGCAGTTCACAAAAAATTTCTATCAACTGCAATACAGGTGAGTCAAAAAACAAGTGTATTAAAAAAAAGTCTTCTCCAATAATATTGTGATTTGTAGGAATTCATAAACCAGAACTTTTCAACAAACAAAGTTGTCAGTTTTCTGACAGCACAAATAATGGAAAAGTTAGATTAAATGTTTTTAATCTTAAAAAACTTGGCCTACAAAGTATAATTGTGAATCTAGTAATCACTTAAAAAAAAACACCTTTCTTAGGCTCAACACATTGAAATGATCGCAAATCTTTAATGTCAACTGAAAATTTCAGCTTATTTATATGATCTCGACGTGATTCGCCACTATCTGATGATGTTGAAAGATTTTCACTTTCATCTTCGGCTGCAAGAACCCAACCATCTTCTTCCATAGGAATCCATTCAATCATTACAGCATATGGCTGAAAGTAAAGAATTTTTGGTGTTATTTCTATTTATAAAAAGCGTATCTAAGCTTCAAAAAAGAATTATATTGTATAAAGAAGGTAAACTTATTTAAGTAGTTTATAAAAAATTTAAATAGTCTCGACGTTATTTGATAATAACTTTTATTTTGTCAGAAAGCAACGGTTAAATGAATGAGGGACAAACTGTACGAACTTTCTCAATTAACGATAATTTCCCACTGATATAACAGTCTTCTGTGTCTTCACCTTCCACAACTCGTTTCGCAGCAACTCCTTGAAGCGTGAAAGCCTCCTGAAAGCATAAATAGTACGATTATATTTGTTTTCAACAAATTAAAATGTGACTCATCAATTCCATCCTTCCTTTGTTGGAAAGTACTTTTAGCGATAATGAATGCATTGTAGGTAAGGAAATCAAGGTAAAACTAAAATATCTGATAAGCTTCTGAAAAAAGAACTGTATGCTATTCATCGCACTATTCACTTGTAGAAGAATACACCGTTGCCTCAAATGTAATACATTCCGCTATTACAAAATCATTTCATAAACCGAATTAGTTATTGTTTGATGATCTGATGCAATACGCAATCGATGTTGGATAAAAATGTCAAGAAGTGAAGCCATTAGGACATAGCACAATACTTAATTAAACAATAGACATCATTATAGATGAAACTTACAGATCTGGAAGTGAGTGAACAAATAATGGTAGCTGTTCATATGTAAAACACGAAACTATACTTACACGTGTGAATGAAGAATGAATACTGGTCATATCATCCAAAGCTTCCATTATCACCGGTCCTCTTTTCTTTTGATAATGTCGATAGACAAGATATGCGGGAATCATCAACGACAACTGATCAAATTAATCTTGCCCCTTCAAAATAAATAAAATAGAATAAACACGGCAATCAGCAATCGATGATTTTATTGCTGATCGAAATTTTGCTGAATTGCTCTCACTCTAATATTACTGAAAGATGATTAGTCATCATATCATTCTGCCATTTTTACGCTACGCTATAATTTGATATTACACAATAGCATATTACCAAAAGTATCGTTGTAATCTTTATTTTTTAACTATTTATAGTTAAAAAAATAAAGATCACATGACGTATTCGTGTAAATCTTGACTTATTCGTTTTTAACGTATTCGCTTAAGTCTTATGCAAAATACATTATTTTATACTATAATGGCTAAATATAAATAGTTCCCCGTAAACTTAATAATATTCACGTAAAATAATTCTCACGGAACAGTAATAATATCTTAAAATAAAAAGATCTTCCAACTGTTCTTCGAAATTTAGCAAAAAATTAATAAAAGTTAGTATTATAACAAATGTATGTTACATCTATACTTCAGTTAATAATTTTCATGCAAAAATATGTTTCAAAAAGAATAGAAAATTGTTTTATATTAGCTTGTATAGATATATATGCACACATAGATACGCGCACACACACACATACACACACACACACACACACACAAACACATACACACGTAAGGAGCAAACTTCGGGTCGTCCATTAGACGTATCGTTTGTGCAGCAATAGTTACAACAGTAAATCGATTGCCGCGTTGCGCCGATCGCAGCGCGACAATGAACAAGAAATAGTGCAGAATACATCGAACTGAGTCTTCATTTGGGGTTTATGAGAGGTCATAGATTATCATGCATTTATTATATATAAAATATTAGAAAATTATCACACGACCTTCTCATCTCCATCAGTTACTTTTATTCATTTAATAGTAATTATTGCTATATCAGTTAGTGCTTTATTCATTCTTTAATTTTAACAATTCCAATTGATGTAATTTGTTTTATGCGAAAGGAATAGAAGTTTTGCATTGTTCTATTGATTTTGATTAGATAGTATTTTCCACGTGAATAGTTTCACTTATGTTAAGACAGGAAATAACATCTACACTTAAGTGACTTAATCAATCCTCACGTACTCATAAACTCATAAATAGTTTCTTTATTGATTAACGATTGATAAGTTTTGTTTGAAATGTCATATTTTGTTTTTGTTTTTCCTTACGTTCTTTAGAAGACAACTGGTATGGATGGGTACGTCGCACTGTTGTGTTTCCATCAGATCGTGAAATTATATGCTGTTATGATGTTTTATGAAACATTTCATGCGTGCTCACCTTTCACATTATTAGTTTGTGATTTTGCAGACCTATATATATATATATATATATATTTTAACTTGTACTTGGAAATATTTCAACTTTAATTGTTCATTTTATTTTGCAGATTGTTAATTCTTGTTTTCCTGATAATTCAGCTGATTCTTTCACTAATTTCATTATTGCTCTTTGGTGGTACCATCGATGTATGGGAGAACGGAAAATTATGGGGAACTGCTTACCATTACTGTTCCCGAACTTATTGCGTGGTGATGATCACTCTCCACTGGAAGAAGTTATTGATACTACTGGTGGAAGCAGTACGATAGTGAGACATTCCGATTCGGAGGTTGTAACGCTTAATAGTTAACTTTTGTTAGATTACTTCGAAAAATGCTCTTTGTAAAGAATGTTCATTTCACAGGGATTGATTTAGCAGAAAAGTTTATTTGTTGAAAGCGATAAGTTTTTAATTTTTTAATTTCTAATTCACTGTCTCACTACTACTACTCACTATTTATATGTTCAAGTAAGTGCTATCAAAAAATTTTTTATATCAAAAATATTTTGATTGCACTTCG